AAAATAAGTAATGGGTACTAGGCTTAATTAATATCTGGGTGTTGAAATAATCTGTATGACAGACTCCCATGACACACATTTACCTGTGTAACAATCCTGCACGTGTACCCCTAAACTTACAATAAAAGTTGAAAAAAGAATTTAGTCTTGCCTTTGGTTTTTAGCATCTTTACTATAATATGCCTATATGTGTCCTTTAAAAAAAAAAATGTTGCTGGAGTATATAGAAATCCTTGAATCTTTGCCCTTAATATTTTTCATTGAGTTTGGAAAATTCTTGACCATTTTTCTTCATATTTTGCTTTTGTTCTACTCCCCATTGCCTCCTTTCTGGTACTGTACATGTATATTTACCCTCCCACCACCTGCCCCTTTTTTGAGGCAGGATCTCACTCTGTCACCCAGGCTGGAGTGCAGTTGGTATGATCATGACTTACTGCATCCTTGAACTCCAAGGCTCAAGCAGTCTTCTTGCCTCAGTCTCCTGAGTAGCTGGGGACTATAGGTGTGCACCACTGTGCACAGCTTATTTGTTTTAGAAAACCTTTTTTGTAGAGATGACAGTCTTGCTTTGTTGCTCAGGCTGCTCTTAAACTCCGGTTTCAAGTATCTTCCCTTGGTAGCCTCTGAAGTGTTCAGATAACAGGTGTGAGCCACCTTGCTCAGCCAGTTAGCCAGTTTTAAAAACAATGTCTCATTCATCTTTGTTTTTTGGGGGTAATAAGTTGTGCATATTAATGAAAACGTTATCTTTTTTTAATTTTATTTTTTATATTATACTGTAAGTTCTGGGGTACGTGTACAGATCGTACAGGACTGTTAACATAGGTGTACACATACCATGGAGGTTTGCTGCATCCATCCCCCTGTCATCTACATTAGGTATTTCTTTTAACGTTATCCCTCCCCAATCCTCCGACCAGCTGCTATTCCTCCCCTACTTCCCCCACCCCCCGCTGTCCCTCCTCTAGCCACCCCAACCCCCAACAGGCCCGATGTGTGATATTCCCCTCCCTGTGTGCATGTGCTCTCATTGTTCAACACCCACTTATGACTGAGAATATGTGGTATTTGGTTCTCTGTTCTAGTATCAGTTTTCTGAGAATGATGGTTTCCAGTTTCATCCATGTCCCTGCAAAGGACATGAACTCATCCTTTTTATGGCTGCATAGTGTTCCGTGGTGTATATGTGCCACGTTTTCTTTATCCAGTCTATCATTGATGGGCATTTGGATTAGTTCCAAGTCTTTGCTATTGTAAACAATGCTGCAATGAACACACATGTGCATGTGTCTTATAGTAGAATCATTTGTAATCCTTTGAGTATATACCCAGTAATGGGATTGCTGGGTCCATTCATCTATATTCTTTTCTGTACTTTCTTTTTTTCTGCATTACTGTTTGACAGATACCACTTTTCTGTATTTTCTGTCCTTGTTTTCTTATTATGCTCTAGTGAGTGTATTTTCTATGAAACTTTTCAAATTATTAGCTTCTTAAAATATGCCCAATCTGCTGTTAATATTATTATATTTAGCTCTTAATTTTATAAATTTGATTACTTTTTAAATATTCAAATTTCATGGTTAAATTCCATCTTTATTTTTATTTTGTCTTTTCCTATGTTTTCTTGAATAACTGTTATAGCTTTCTGTTTGTAATTTTAAACTGTATTCCCCTGTGGCTCCAAAATGGATAATTTGTGACTTTTTCTTCTTTGATTAGTCTTAACAAAATGTTAACTCTTTCTCTCCAAGAACCAACTTTTGATCTTTTTTCTGAAGTTTTATATTATGTATCTTTGTTTCCTTTATTTACTTTTACTTCTGTGTATATTGATTTATTTAGTGGATGAAATTTCCAGAATCTGTCTTACTTTGTTTGTTTTCTTGTATCCTGTCTCTTGGCATGTGTTACATTTTAGTTAAATGTCAGACATTGCGTTTGACAATTTTATAGTATAGGTTATCTGAATGATCATTTGCTATAGAGGATGGCTTAGCGTTTCTTCTGTTAAGCAGATAGAGTGCAGTTAGATCACCTTAATCACAAAACTTTTGCATGCTCCAGATTTGTGTACATATAGTTTATGTCTGCACAGTGATGAAATTGCCTAAAGACACGTTTCCTAGAATGTATCCCTGTCTTTAAGCAATGCATAGATTGTTAAGTTTTCTAATAGGCAATGCATATTTTCATACAGGGAAAAAATACGACATATAAATAAAGGTACTCTTTAATTAAAAAGATCTCTTTCTGCCACTGGCTCTGTTTCCCAGTTAGACTTTTTAGGGTCAATTATTTACTATTTCTGTGTATATTGATTTATTTAATAGATGAAATTTCCAGAACCTGTCTTATCCCAGGCACTATTTTATTTTAGATACTTAGGATAAATGAATAAACAGATTAAGATAACTGTTGCTCTGTAGGTTATATTTTGCTAGGAGGAGACATGTAATAAATATAAGCACATAAATAGTATAGAAGAAAGTAAATGCTACTGCAAAAAGGAAAAAGTAATCAGGTAGGATAATAGGGCACTGGCAATACCAGAGAAGAAGTTGCCATTTTAAATAGGGTGATCAAGATTAGGACTCATTGATTGAAATTTTTATACAAAGATTTGAAGATAAATGTGTGGTAATACACACGGTGTGTTTGTGTACTTGTGAATATTTAAACTGCTTTACTCTTTTAAGTAGCCACATAGTTTTCTGTTGGATGTACATAATTTATTTACTCTTATTTCTAGTGATTAGATGAGTTTTACCTAATCCAATGATACTGAAAACAGCCACAGTGATGATCCTTTCTTGTGTTATGTGAACACATACGTATCTTGTATTTTGCCTGCTTTCACCCATGGTTTGTACTGTCAAATCTCAGTCTTTGTATATTTCTTTGACTTTGGTTTTTGTTTTGGCTTTTAAGTAAAGATTATAATATATATCAGTATTTTATACATACACCTATAGTTTTTATAGTATTTTAAAAAAATAATACTTTAACTTGTTTGACATTTAATTTGGCATGGTTTAGGATTCTAAGTTGATTACTTTCCAAGCATTGAACTGAATGTCGCAGCAATATTTGTTGAATATTTTTTGTGATATGCCTTCTATTATACATTAAATTTTTATATGTGATAAGATGCTTTTCTAGGAATTATGTGTATGTGCTAGTTGAAAGCTTCTACTTGTTGGGTGACTTGAAGGCAGGGCTTTACCAGGAAAAAGAGGAAGGAGAGGTAATGCTTTAACTACAGGAAAGACTTCTGTTATTGGCTGGGGCTTGACTTCTGTCAAGCAGCTTGTTGCTGTTGAAGGTAATTTAGGTAATAATTGACTGCTTTGAGGTTCATTTCTTTTTTTCTTTTCTTTTTCTTTTTTTTTTTTAATTAAATATGGAGTTTCCCTCTTGTTGCCCAGGCTGGAGTGCAGTGGTGCAATAGTGGCTCACCTCCACCTCCCGGATTCAAGCGGATCTCCTGCCTCAGCCTCCTGAGTAGCTGGGATTATAGGCATATGCCACTATGCCCACCTAATTTTGTATTTTCAGTGGAGATGGGGTTTCACCACGTTGGTAAGGCTGGTCTTAAACTTGCGACCTCAGGTGATCTGCCCTCCTTGGCCTCTCAAAGTGCTGGGATTACAGGCATGAACCACTGCGCCTGGCCTTTGAGGTTATTTGTGAATAACTTTAAGTTATATGTAAGATATGCCTAAATAATTTCTGAAATTGTGTTAAAGATGAGGATCATAGCAAACTATCAAGAAGAAAATAAGGAATATTAAAAAAGAATTCCTTAAATGCATGATTCATCTAAAGAAAAATTACTAATCAAGAGAGACTGGAATTTATCATCAAAATATTTGTAACCAAAGGAAAGATTCAAAGCTAGAAAGTTAAATTTAAAACATATCAATAAAATATAGAGTTGTATTAATACATTATTTAGAAATAACTTATTTCCAGAGTTATTTTTTATGACAGAGTTGATCTTACTTAAAAACAATGACCACCAAAAATTTACAACTAATGAAGGCTAAGTAGGCTCTGAATAAAGAAGTAGGAAGGAATGAAAATTATGGTTAAAATATTGGTGATGATCTTGTCTTTCATGTAGGCACTGACAGACTTAGTTAAGGCTGTTCAAGAAAGTGATTGGAATGGCTTTCCTATTGATAGTCTCTTCTAGCCTTCAGTAGTGTTCCAGACCATGGGGTTTCCTGACACCCTTTCAAGAGATCTGTAAAGTCAAATAATTTTCATAATATTAATGCATTATTTACCATTTTCAGTTTTTTGACATTTGCACTATGGTATAAAGCAAAAACTTCTGATGCCTTAGTATAAATTAATGTAGTAATTGCATTAATGTACCAAATAATTCATTACCATGTAATTTATGCATCAAACTATACTAGTAATTACTGTATTTTCTTTGCTGCCACATAGCTGTAGGAAAAAAAAAAACCAGTTCCAGTTAAGAATGTCTTTGATAGAACAGTAAAAATTATTAATTTTATTAAGCTGCAATCATTGAGTATATGTCCTTTTAGCATTTTGTGAGTTGAAAGAACACATCATACTATATCCTGAAGTGCAGTGTCCTTAGAAAAAGTAGTTATGCAATTACTGAGTTGATAGCTGAACTAGCCACTTCTTTTATGGCACATTAGTTTTACTTTGAAGAATAACTGACAAACTATGGTTATTTAGACTTCAGTACATGGCAGACATTTTCTTGAAAAAGAACTAAGTAAGCCTGTTACTTCAAGGAAACAAAAACTGGCAGTATTTGGTGCTTTCAGGCAATATTTAAATTTTCAAGCAAAAATTAGAATTTTGGAGGACTTGTATTTGCAACTGTGACTTTGAGGGCTTCCCAAATACTTAATGAATTTTCGGTTGAGATTGATGGTTGTCAGAAGTCTCTGAGACCACTCTCAGGTTCAGTGATTTGCTAGAAGGACTAACAGAACATGGCAAAACTGTTATACTCACAGTAATAGTTTATTATAGCAGAAGGTTGCAGTTTAAAATCAGCAATCAAAAGAGGTGCATAGGGCAGAGACTAGATGCAAGCTTCCAGTTGCTTTGTCCCAGGGGAGTCATAGGGACAGTGCTTAATCTTCCCAGCAACAGTATGTGACAACACGTGTCAAATATTACCAACCAGGAGAACTCACCAGAGTCTTGGTGTCCAGGGATTTTAAGGCCTAAAGTGCCCACATTGCTGACTTTAGTAACTCCATCTGTTTTGACTCCAGAGGTCAGACTGATATTACATGGACCAAGGCCCCTACCATAAATTACATTGTTAGTATAATCTGAATGGTGTGGCTCAAGGTTTTCAGTAAACAAAGGATATTTTTATTAAGCAGGATATTTCAGTGGCTTAGAGGTTAACTCCCAGGAGGTGGGCAAGGGCCGGCCCTTTTCTTTGGAATATCGAGGGTGTGGACAGCCTAGCCCTACTAAGTTATTAATCCTTTACTGCATCCTGGTGATATATAAGGAATGTAATGTTTTGATACTGTAATCAAATGTGTTAATATCTGGAAGATCTGCATAGCTCAGTGAAGTGATATTTTTCAGATGACCGCTGCGTGATGCAACTCGTGATAAGCATCAGTAAATGATAGACCAGTGGATTTTAATGGAATAGAGTGCAGATGTTTATAGATGTGGTGAGATTATACATTTCATCTAACTTACAAGTAACTGTATTAAGTAATATTCTTCATATACTATGAACCAAAGCAATATAGAGCAACATATTGAATGCAGAAACAGATAAGGAAATCTAACTATCTTCTATTAAGTTAGATAGTAAAAATTTGTACAAAAATGTAAGTTGGTGCTACTCTTTTCTCATACATTTTTTTGGAGAATATATTTTACATGAAGAATATGTTACCTGCATTAACAGTTACTCCATTATGTGTTATTTTAAAAATTAATTTGTAAACATTTAAAATTTTCTCAGTTATAATTTCTAATACAGTAAATATTGACAGCTATAACCTATAAAAACAGAAGTTCTTTAGGAGCCAATAATTTTTTAAACCTGTGAAGGAGCCTAGAGACCATTTCACTGGGTCTCCTGTGTCCGGTCTAGAGCTTATCAAAGGATGCGATGAACAACTAAACTAAGGGAAATATAGTTTGCAATTGGAATCTCAGGGGTATCTGGAACCAGGGATTTGAATGCTACCATGAATCTTCATTTTCATCTGTTCATCTGTTTGGCCCTCTCAGCTTCATTCTTTCTTATTAAACACAGGCTCTTCAGAATATTGGAAAATCTAGCAGGCAAATAAACAAGAACTCTTTCTTTGACCTTGCATCATAAATCTTTTGTTATCAGAGAAAAAAGATTTGTTAGCTTAAGCGTGAAAAAATATTTGAAAAGCTTGGTTCAGAGTGCTTATCATGGAATGATCAACTATGAGTAGGCCAGATTATTTTGAAGGAAAATGATAGTTTCCTTGTTGGAATTGAGGGAGAAGGAGTTCCCACAGAGAGGCTCTAAGTGTTTTCCATGAATGGGTGGGTGCTGAACAGGCATTTTACAAATCATCTTTGAGTGTCAACAAGTTGTATAGACAGCAGTTATTATGGGAGTTCAGAGTAGAGAAAGTTAGGGTGTTTAAGTGAGGGAACTCACATTTCTATCTCAGTTTCGGATGTGATCAAATGACATTTTATACTGGCTGATTTTAGGTTTAAAACATCACTTTGGGCACGGGTGGTCTGTAGCTGATATCTTTCAGGTGGTTGAATTTTTGCTCTCCCTGGAGGCATAGGTATTTCTTGAAGAGAAGAGTGATAGATAACTACCACCGTGGGGAAGGACAGTGCAGCTGAGAAATAGCTTGAATGGGAGAGTGAAAGTCATTTTCCAGTTTGGCTAGATAAGTATACTCCAGTAAGAGATTATGACTTTAGAATTTCCGCGTAGGCAGGGCTTTTGACAGATTTGTTTTCCTCATCTCCCACCTGCCATTGCCTACTGTGTTCAAGGCATTATGCCATGTGCCAGACTAAAGGATTGTGATGATGACTTAAATGTCCCCAGTAGCCACAGGCACTTTTATATTAGGTGGAGAAAACAGATATGAAAATGACTTATTGTATTACAGATAAGATAAAATGCCAAAAAAAAAAGTGTAACATATCAGCTGACAGCATGATAGAAGATTAATTATGACCAAGGGATCAAGGAGATGGCACCTAAGCTAGACACTGAAGAATGAGACAGACTTCTGTAGGCAAAGGCATGGCAGTAAGAACATTTCAAATTAAAGGAATAGTACGATCAAAGGTGTAAGGGTCTGAAAGTGCACGTTTGATTTGTTTAAGAGATGGCAGGTAGTCCAGTGGAGTCTGGCCAAGTCATAAAGATTACTGAATGTTGTGCCTATAGTTTAGATTTAATTCTATAATTAATGGGACCTTTTCAGTTTTGATTTGTGTTTCGGGCATAGGTATTTCTGGAGATAATATTATAGATGTATAATAGTACATCTATAACATGTAATATTATAGGTATACAGTAAGAAGACCAGTAAAATTGAAAGGTCTGTTGCAGGAATAGAGAACATAACAAGTAGGAAAGGAAATGACAGGATGGAAGAAGAGAGCAGTAAGAAGGTGTAACTGTTGAGGCTTTTCAACTGATTGGATATGAGGGAAACAGGGTAGAGAAATAGGTCAGAGATACTCATGAGAAGTTTTTATTAGGTTTAATTGTATTTTATTTTTTGATCTTAAAAAAAACCAGCAATAGATGGTTCAGCTCATAGCTTGAGTATCTGGATTGATGTTAATGACAAGTAAAGATGAGAAACAGGAGAGGGAGAAGAGGTAAAGAGAGAGGCTGTGGGAGGAATGATGATGGTTGTTTTTAAAAATAAGTGTTGAGTTTCAGTTGTTGTGATATCCAAATTGAAAGATCCAGTAGAGGGTGGAAATGCAATTCTGTCTTTAAGGGTAATGGGAGAGTTAGGAATTATTTACATTGTTAAATACTCTTTATTGTGACACTGGATGAGTATGACAGATATGGGAAGCTAGGTTATATAAGTGACACTCTCATCTTTAAGTTTGTTTCAGAGATCCTAAATAAAACCTTTTTGAATATTACATCCTTTTGAGGGCATTATATTTGGGAGCTAAGCAGAATGTGTTTTCCAAATTACATGAAGTATAAAGAGCTTTATATTTAAGTGGATATATTATTCTGATTGTCATATTCACTGTGTTCATAAAGAAGTACAGAATTACATCACACCTTCTATTAATGGCTAGCAGGCAAAAACTTGTATCTTAGTCCATTATTGGTTACTGCAGCAGAATATCTGAAACTGGTAATATATTTTTAAAAACTATTTCTTACAGTTTTGGATGCTGGGAAGTCCAAGACTGGGGGGTTGACGTCTGTTGGGGGCCTTCTAGCTAGCTACATCATAACATAGTGGAGGGAGTCACATGGTGAGAAGGTGGGAGGATGCCACCTCAGGTTTCTCCTTCCCTACTTACAAAAACCACCAATCCCATCATGGCCCACCCCCAACCCATTACCTTATTTAATTCTGATTACCTCACAAAGACCCTGCCACCAAATACCATCATTGTATGAATTTGGGGATTAAGTTTCTAACACAGGAAATTTGGGGACACATTCAAATCATAGCAACTTCTGTTTTAAAAAATTTTGTGTTTTTAAAGAAGTGTGCTATCTTTTGGGTTTTTTAGAGAACCTCTCAACATGGAGTAAATACAGAATACTATTTAATAATTTCATGTTAGAATGTTTAATATGGGAGAGAGGTGAACAACTGCTGTCAAGATTATTTTAGGTACTATTAGATAAGTGGCACCTTGAGAATAATAGTATGCTTCCATATTTTTGCATATTAGTGATCAAGCAAATTAAACACTTCCTAGGAATTATGGTTGTCTTACCTCAAAAACAATGTTGATAAGTACACAGAAGGTAAAAAAGTCTTAATTTTAAAAAATGGATATATAGGCTGATCGTTTTTTTAAAATTATTGAAAGTCGTTAGAAATTGCAATAAATTTTTTCTATGATTTCTTCAATAATTTATATTTAAGTTTATTTGTAATTTCATCAAAATTTTAAGTTTATTTGTAATTTCTTCAAAAATTTAAAAAATTCTTAAATTTCATCAAAATTAAAAAAAAATCAGTGATTTTAACACAGTGTTAAAATCTGTATACCAATACATTATAAACTGATATTTTTTTAATTTTGATGAAATTAAAAAATTCTTTAAATAGTGTTAAAATCCGTATACCAAGTAATACATTATAAACTGACATTTTTGAATAATTTTCAGAACTATTAATGTTTAACTTTTTTTTTTGCTAGAATGTCCTGAGACCAGATCTGTTTGTTTGAAAAAACAAGTTGCTAGTATAAATTTAAAACAAATACGATGAATGATTAATATGTGCCTTGGCATCTCTTATCTATAACAGATGTGCCCTCTAAGATGTTCTGGCTATGGTACCTGGAAGATAATTCCTTCTTTGCATTGTTACTATAGTTATCTTATTAAGGGCCAGTTGGTTTCAGAATGTACTTTAAGAAATGTGAAAAGGCTGGGTGTGGTGGCTCACGCCTGTAATCCTAGCACTTAGGGAGGCCAAGGCGGGCGGATCATGAGGTTAAAATGTCGAGACCAGCCTGGCCAACACGGTGAAACCCCATCTCTACTAAAAGCACAAAAATTAGCTGGCATGGTGATGTGCACCTGTAGTCCCAGCTACTCAGGAGGCTAAGGCAGGAGAATCGCCTGAACCCAGGAAGTGGAGGTTGCAGAGAGCCTAGATGGTGCCACTGCACTTTAGCCAGCAAAAGAACGAGACTTCATCTCAAAAAAAAAAGACAAATGTGAAAAATAGCTTTGGAAAAAAAAATTAGCTTTTTAGAAGACAGTAATAGATATCTTATTCCGATTCTCCTATCAGTGGATAAACAGTTAAATTGATAATCACAGAAATACTTCAAAGCCAAAGGCTTGTTCTTCATTTTTCTCATTCCTAAATTTTCTACCTCTCTCTCTCAAATTTCATGGCATTTTATTTTATGTGTCAGGATTGCCACTATCTGAATATCTTTCTTTGAGATTTCTAGACCTGTCCCACAGAGACTAAGAATTGAGAACTCAACATGGAGAGTGGGAGTAAGGAAGTTGCATGGTCCTTCCTGTATCTGTTTTTAATACCTTGTGCCTCAGCACCCCTGTTTTGGGGAACTTCCTGCACATAAACTGTCAAAGCCTCTCACAGTTATAGATCCAAAGCTGTTTTTTGGTAACCTGTAGTGTCACTGATTTCTTCTCCATGTGAGAAGAGGAGCTTTGAAATCAAAGAATCTGAGTTTATGGGAAAAGTCACCTGAGTGTGCTACTTGGATACCACTTAAAAAAATTTTTTTTTTTTTGAGACAGATGCTGGTTCTGTTGCCTAGGCCAGAGTGCAGTGGCACAATCTAAGCTTACTGCAACCTCCACCTCCCAAATTCTCATGCCTCAGACTCCCAAGTAGCTGGGATTACAGGTGTGTGCCACTACATCTGGATAATTTTTGTATTTTTAGTAGTCAGGGTTTCATCATGTTGACCAGGCTGGTCTCGAACTCCTGGTCTCATGTGATCAGTCTGCCTTGACCTCCCAAAGTGCTGGGATTGCAGGTGTGAGCCATTGTGCCTGGCAGATACTGCAGATTTGTCCTAACTTCATCTGTGCTTTTTATTACACGGGGTTCTTACTGCAGTCCTTTTGTTCATGCATTCCAGACTTTTAATATATTTCCCCTTAGCTGCCTTCTTTGGCATTTTTACCACAATGCTTAAGGCCTGTCTTCTTCCTCATTAGATGGCCTTGATTACTACTTTATAGAGAGAATAAAAATTACATATTTTCAAGTTCACTCATCACTTAGCTTATTTGTGACCTTAAGGAATTAGACTAGATATCTGAAAGCCTTTTCCATCCCAGATGTTTCATCTTAAAATAATTTTCTCTACTTTTTACTGGGAGGCAACTGTGTATTTGTTCTTTTACCATTCCATAATTGTAGATACTGTGTTTTCACCTATCTTATTCTGTCTCTTCTGTTTTTTTAAGGAAAAGATGACCTTCTTCCCTAGTAAGACTGTTTTTCTCTTGCTCTCTTTTTTTCCTTTTCAGACAGAGTCTTGCTCTATCACCTAGGCTGGGGTAAAGTGGCATGATCTCAGCTCACTGCAACCTCTGCCACCTGGGTTCAAGTAA